ACCCATTTGTGGTCTTATCAAGCTTTGGGGGAGAAACAACATGAACTCCTGAATATTTAGTTAGGCTAACTAACAGAAATTAAATACCCTTTTACTTTTTTAACCTAAACACAAGGATTTTATAGCAATACCAGTTAACAGGACCATGATAACCAAACTTACATCATTGATTTCATCAATGCAACAGTTTTCTTCTTCCATCATTGCCTCCGTGAACAATTCCATCTCCATAGCTCCGCATACACCTGGAAAAAAATTTCAAAAAATACATAAAAAGATAGAGATCGAAAAATTTGGAAACAAGTGTAACATACCTAGGGTTTAACCAATACTTTGGATCATTGAAACAATGAAACTGGGTGTGTATAGAGTGTTCATAATCGAAAATCTAAAGATGTACACTGAAAATTGAAGATCAAATTACCAAATTGTGGAAGCAGAAGTGAATTGCTGATTGTAATGAGGAAATTCGAAATTTTGTCAGAAACGGGTTAATCTGTAGTTAACCATGTCCATGTGAGGAAAATGACTATAACAATGGATAGGCCCACATTCTTGTATAATCACACATATTAATATAACTAAATATGGAAAAATAAATAATTACTTATTTTATTGATGTTTTTTTTATTTATTACCATTTGTAGCAATACTATGTTAAATTCGCAAAATATATTAAGAGTGAGTTAAGTATGTGATATATATGTATTGTAATTATTTTTTAAAATATATTATGTTTGTTTGATAACAAGTTGACATACTGTATTATAAGTGTATTAAAATGTGTGATAAATGTATTATCCATCAATAAAACTTGTATTATATGTGAATAATAAACTTTTTTTTTTGTAATATGAATTTAAAGTATATTATAAATGTATTAAAAGTGATAAAGTGAAAAAAAATGTTATTGCTATAAATAGTAAATATTTTTTATTTATAGTATACTTATGTAAGTGTTCCAATAAATATTATATTATTAATATTAAGTAGGGTTATATATGAGTCATTTGTATATAAATAGGGGTGTATATGAGTCACTTTCATAACGAGGGGTATATCAGCTTTAAATAACAAAGTTAAGGTATATATATATCAATTCTAAATGACAAAATTGAGGAAATATCAGACTCTTCCCTGGTATATTTTTGATAGTATGGTGAAAAATAAAATGTACAATTTAGTCAGCTCATTATGTTAGAAAAAAAAACAATCTCACATGTAGGAATAGCAAAGTTTTCTTTTCTTTTTTACTAAAATAAAATGCATATTGGTTACATGGGATGAAAGGTTGATTTACTAAACAAAAAATTATAAATTATCACCTATAAGTAGTGCATCTCATGCAATTGACTTGCATATTTATAGATAGAAAGATTACATACAAATTTTATTTTATTTTTTAAAATAAAAATCAGAATCCATCTTTTTAATTTTTTCTGTAAAAAATAATCTGTATTTTCTTAAGTAAAATTTAATTAATAATGGTTGCAACTTTGAGGAATATAGCTTTGAAACAAACTTTTTTTAATATCTGGTTATGGGTGTTGTTAAGTCAGTTTTGGTGGATTAATAAAGGCTTAAGTCATTCATGGCTTTTTAAAGTTGTCCGTATATTTTATTTTAAACATCTTCACTAAAATTATTACCTATTGAATACTTAGACTGTTAAAAAATGTACCTTTCAAACACAAAATGCTTATATGACAAAAGAAATGGTTTTCACTTCCTTTAGACACTTAAAAAACTTTTTTTAATATAATTTTTTTTAAAAAAAAAAGAACTTCCACTTTTTTTTTAATTGACACTTGACATTTAAAAATAAATCAAAATATTTTTTAATATTTTTAAAAATAATTATTTTTAAAGGTGAACCAGTTCTTTCAGGCTATTATGAATCCCTCATTAGTTTAGTTCATTCTTATCGAACTCAGACTATATATTTAGACTTTGTTGATATTTAGTTTTCGGGGTTGCACCCCTTTTTCTAAGACTTGTTGGTTAACAGAGTTTTGATACAACAACTTTCAGTTCTAGAAATTGAATTTCCGCAATAGTTGTTGTTAGACCTTCAGAGTTTATGAGAACTCTGTATTTATTTAGTCATTTAAATCTGTTGTCATATCTTTAAATGACTTAGTTGTTAAAATTGTTTTATCGGATTGTGATAGTGATTCTCACACCGAAGAATTAGTGTGAATGTCAATTATAACGGTCTGAATTGTGACAAATTGTGATGAAGAATTTTATAAAAAGAGGAACAAAATGTTACTCGATAGTGCGTAAAAATGATCGAATTTATATGTAGTAAATATTTAATATTAATTTTATATTTCATAGATATCCTTAAATATCAAATGCTGAACTCAAATGTGTAGTAGTTCTTATTAAATAAAAAATCTCCATTTGAAAATTCGATCTTAAAATATAGAGTAGTGACTAAATAAATAGAATGGTCTTTACAAAATATTGAAATAATACACTTAAAATAGTTATTGTTGTAATTAAATATTGGGTCCATGCTCAATCTTGTTAAATTTAGCATCTTGTTGCTTATTGTTAAATTAGTTTTTATTTTTCCTTTTAAAATAGCTATCATGTTTATTTTTTTAATTAAAATTATGTATGTTCTTATTTTTATTTTCATTTAAATTTATGCAACACAATTAAAATTTTGAGAGTCAATCAATTTTTTTTATAAAAAATTTATGATGAGAATGTAATGTTGACCTTTTAAACTACGGAAAAACAAAAGAAAAGAAATACTTTTTAAAATCATATTAAATTGAATAAATATATCCTCTATTAATAGTGTGGTCCAATAATATCTATATCGTCAATATTTTATTACACAAATGACTTACTGTTACTTTTGATTAAAAAATGCTCTTTTCTTAATAAACATACCGTTTCGTTTATTTTCAATCTCCATTTTTTTCCAAAGAAAAATATTGCATCTCATTATAAATTTTCATATGTATAATATCATAGAATCTATCATTAATTTTAAATTCTTAATATTTTTTAATTGAAGGAGGATTATTATTTCGTAATATGAGCATTGATTTTAAAGTTAATATACAATAAACATAACGCCACAAAATATGAAAAATTATTACATTGATTCAAGCTAAAAAATATCTTTGAAGTTTACTTATAGTTGACCCTTTTATCATATTTTAACCCTAAAATTAAGAAATATATAAACAAATATTTATCCTACGTCAATTTCAAATAAGTTTTAAAAGTTTGCTACGGGCAGAGATAAATTTGGCTAGATAGATAATAATTAAAAAATAAAGGATAATTTTTACCCTTTTTCGTTTCAACTTAATTTTAAATATATCATTTTTTTGGAGTGCTTAGTTTTATTTCAACTTTTGTTAGGTAAATCTTTATGATATTATTAATGCGTGTTACACATAACGGAAGATATCATTCGATTTTTTCGTTTGAAAATAAATGATAAAAAGACGGAAAAAATTGATTTTATCGTAAAATTAAGTTTAGAACAATATAACTATTATAAAGAGAAAAGAAGATAAGATATGTAGATGAATGAGATAATTTCTACTCAAGTGTATCTTATAACGGTCAATGATATCTCTATATTATAGATTGAGAAACGACTCTAAATGTCATCATGTTGAATATCAAATTAGTAGATACAATATTATCCGAAAAAAATTTATATCATCTAGAGAATTCATATACATGAATCGATGAACGTTCATGAATAAACTTAAATAGAGAATCCACTTAGTTTAATGAATTTATAACATTTCTTTTTAATTTTTTTCTTATTTTCTATATTATGCAAGAAGAATTGGAAAAATGCTATAGTCAAACCATTTTAATATTTTTTAGCATGGATCATCGATCCATCTTTTCAATATTATTTTATTTTCAAACCATTTTAATATTTTCTATATTTAAATATTTTTCAAAAAATATAACACTGCGATCTAGAGAGGGGATAGGTTCACATGAACTCATGAAACCCCCTCTAGATATGCCCGTAGCTAATGGGTTCAACCCCCTCTAGATACGCCCCTTGCTAATGGGTTCCCGCCTATTTAGCCCCCGTCCGTGACTTTCAAACTCATCACCAAAGCCTAGTTGATGTATATTGTATAGTATTCTTCTATATATATAACACCATCTTCAAGCTCTTTTTTATAATTTCATTAATTTCTCCATATACAATTAAGGAACCCCACCAATGGCCATTTGGATTTCAAGATCAAGAAGAATCTTTAACCATTTTGTTCAAAGGGATTGTCCCTTATCTCTTCTTCACCCTAGAGGTTCAAGGCCATTTTCCTACTTTGAGTCCAAGCAACAAGAGCCACAATGCTATCATGAGGAGGAGGACTATCATGTTGATATTAAACATGATGAGAACCAAGTAGTGTTTTAATTTATCAACTTTTTTTTAGTTATATATACTATCTCCAATTGTATAAAATGTTGATTAATTAGTTCTTCAATTTATAATTATTATGTTACAACATTTCTTTTCTTCATTATTTACATAATGGAAAAGGGTCAAAATTGATCCTGGACTATGCGAAATAGATCACTTATACTCTTCATTACATTTTGGGATAAAAAATGCCCTGCCGTTATTCTAAGGTTAATCCCCAAGTTTTCGTGACATGGCAAGACAATGTGGGACTAATTCTTCCACCTAAGCGTTGCCAACTAGGATTCACTACAAAAGAATTAGACCATTAGCGGGGACAACAATCGCCACAAAATCCCAGAAAATCATTTTAATGAAATGTATAGATAATACTATCTCTTCTTAACAGGCCATGGATTTCCCAGGAGGAAAGATTCCATTTGTTTCACAAATGAAATTCATTTCAGAGTCATCAGAAACAAGGTTAGCTTGTTATAGAGTCCTTGACAATAATGGCTCTACAATTTCAGGCAGTGTATTTGAACAGGTAATTAATTTCAATTCAGGAAAAAAATTTACTCCTACATTGTGTTTATACTAAACCAATAACGAGTTCGTTTTGGTAGGATGAAAGTTATTTAGTAAGTAATTCATTAAATCTGACCTCCTGCCTGACAAGTTTAAAACCACAAGATTTCAACCACGCGTCTGCATGACATGTGGTTTGGTGTTTTGTTAGGTGAAGAAAGGTTTGGCAGTGAAGATATATAGAAATATGGTGACCCTTCAAATAATGGACAATGTTTTTGATAAAGCACAAAAACAAGGGAGGTTATCCTTGTATATGGCCACTGTTGGAGAAGAAGTCATTAACATAGCTTCTGTTGCTGCTCTCACCACACATGATATCGTCTTACCTCAGGTCATTGTTCTATCACAAACTCATAATACTAATAAAATGTTGTGTTGATTTTTCAGATGGTCACTTAGTTAATAGTTATTATCTCAGTAATTCACTTTCAAGTGTCGAGGCACTTGCATTCGAAGAAACGCTAAAATGTAAGCATTTTTTTATGATCGTAGTATAGGGAGCCCGGTGTTCTGTTATGGCGTGGCTTCACCCTGAAAGAATTTACCAATCAATTGCTTGGAAAGAAGGATGATAACGGAAAAGGAAGGCAAATGCCAATACATTATGGTTCTAACAAGCTCAATTATTTCACCGTCTCTTCAACTCTCGCGTAAGAATCTTTTTTCCAAGCACAAGATTGATTCAGATCACACACACGGAGGCTGGCAAATGACAATACATTATAGTTCTAACAAGCTCAAATCTCGCGCTCACACATTAACTAACTACCCCTTACTTATATTGTTCGTTTCCAAAGCACGCAGCTTCCACAGGCAGCAGGCGTGGCTTATGCGCTGAAAATGGATAGAAAGGAAGCTTGTGTAGTCACTTATTTTGGTGATGGTACTAGTAGTGAGGTAAGTACTTATGTTTATGCCCTCTATATATCGCTTTTAATGAGTTTTTATGTTGAATTATTTTCAAGGAGATTTCCATGCTGCTTTGAATTTTGCTGCAGTTCTTGAAACTCCTGTTATATTTCTATGCCGCAACAATGGATGGGCCGTTAGCACCCCTGTCAACGAACAATTCCGAAGTATTAACCCTAAACTCAATTAAATCTGTTATAATGGTGTGAATCTGTATGGTGAAAAAATTGTTTTACAAACTGTGTTATCATAACCACAAATTACTGATTGTAATAAATTGTTCAGAAACACGAAGTAACTGAAATTTATAGAACCAGTAAGCGAGATGAACAGAAATTTATTTCACAAAATACTCAAATCTGTAAAAATGTACCAGAATCTGAAATAACCTTTTAATTTGGAAGAAGATCAAGTCCACTGAACTCTCAGTGTCCCCTTAAGCAAATTATTCTCCTCTAGTTACCGAGGTTTGATTTGGAATATAACCTCCCAGGGTAAAATGATCTTAATCACCAGAGTGTAGATACCAAAAACTCTACTGTCAGCGAATCAATCCACAGCAGGAAAGTACACGAAGAAAAATGTGTTTGAAGAAGAAGAGGAAGATTCGTTAAGAAATATTCGAAAGAATGAGTGGTATTTATAGGCAAGAAGAATATGTTCTGAAAGGTTGCAACCCTTTCAGAATTCACACGACCATTAATGAAAGGTTGCAACCCTTTCAAATAGTATGGACTGTTGCAACCTTTCAGAACAGTCATGGCGGTTGAAAACATTTGGATTAATTAAAAACTTCTATTATCAACTAATTAATTGAAAATATTTTTGGCCATTTAATTAATTAAGTAGATAAATAAAACAAACTTTGTCCAAAAAATAATTTCTTGATCATTTGCCCTCTTTCCAACTCTTTTAACAATTAATAGGAGTGTTTATGTATTTAAACTCTCCTATTTTTCTTTCCATTGGATGGACTTTTCAAGTTCCCAACTCTTCAAATTTCTCTCCTTCGCTCTATTTCCCATCAATTCTTGCTAAATACCGAACAAAAATAATGCATCCAAAAGTCATTTTAGACAAATATAATCTAAAAATGACTTGCAATCATATCAAACACAGTATAACTTAAAGCTACATTACTACTAAATATTTTCCAATGGTAGGTGATGGAATCGCGATTAAAGGGCAAGCCTATGGAGTTCAAAGTATTCGCGTGGATGGCACTGATGCCCTTGCAGTTTATAGCGCTACTCGTGCAGCTCGCGAAATGGCAATAAAGGAACAAAAACCAATAATAGTAGAGGTGTGAAATTCAGCAATTCGTATTATTCTGTTTCATACTTTTAAATCTTCCATTTTGTAACACTTACTAGGCCATAGCTTAATCGAGTAAGCGACCATGCATCGTCTCATGATGCAACTCAGTATCGATCCAATGAGGAAAGCGAGTACTGGAGAAGACGATGCCCAGTCGCCAGATTCAGAAAATAAATACAGAAAAACGGTTGGTGGAGTGATCAAGAGGAAATGGGATTCCGGGGAAATACCAAAGAGCAGGTTCAAGATTCAAAATTCCTAAAAAGTATTCGATTTGATTTGATTTGATTTTCTTTCATTTCTACTATTTGTTGATTGTTTTGAAAATTTAATGTAGGTGTTGCAAGCACTTGAAAGAGCAGAGGAAACAGAGAAACCTCCTTTGGCAGATTTGTTTACCGATGTTTATGATCAAATTCCATCAAATCTTCAAGAACAAGAGAGGTTTATTAGAGACGCGATAAACAAACGACCAAATGAGTATTCTACTAATATACCTCTATAGGCAACATTTTCAATTTGAAATTGGCACCTCTGAATTCAAGTAATGTCCTCTATGTAATACGAATATACGATGAGTTGTGGTTGAGTGCGTTTGTATCTTATACAGAAAGTAGTCTGAAATTGCACGAAGCATCCGAGATGAATAAAGTTTGAACTCTTGTTTATCTTCTTTGCAAATGTATGTTGTATGTTCATACCTTATATGTGTTTTCATGTCTTCATTTTTACTAAGCGAAAACAGATTGTATAAACAAAGCAATGACAAGTTGTTCCTTTCACCAAGCAATGACTTTTGTCATTCTTTAACGGAAGAAGAAGTTCTTTTGATATTAATAATATTTGAGAGAGTTCTTTTGAACTTTGGGATTTGTTCTTTGAGAATTTATTTTAAACCTTTACTAGTTTCAGAGTAATAATCTCTTCTTGTGATATTTTTGATTTCTTTTTGGTTTTCTTTAGAATATGGTTAGTTTATACATACTGATTATTTGTCTTTAGTTACTCATAAAGTGGTTAACATCTGAATCTATCATTTTGATTCGTTTTCTCAAGTAAAGACATTAGATTTCTTTCATAAATCTATACATATGAAAGAAATATATCGTTCTTATTGCAGAAAATGAATGAAAATGATAGATTCGAATCTTGAACACTTAATGAGTAACTAAACACAATAATTAATATGTATAATTAACTAATCACCTTCTGAAGAATATAAAAAAGAAATCAAAGCTATGACAAGAAGAAATTACTTTATATCTTAAAACTAAACTTTAAATCCCAATAATGAAAATGATAGATTCCGATCTCGTCCTTGAACTTCTTCAGTTCTTCAAAACTAAACTTTGGATCTCAATAATGAAAATGATAGATTCGATCTCGCCCTTGAACTTCTTCAGTTCTTCAAGACTAAACTTTTGATCTTAATAATCCTCCTCTTAAACTTCAACTTTGGCCACAAATAGTTGAACTTTGGACCCCCAATAGTTATATTTAGGACACCTATTTAAATAAGACATAATATATAAATATGTCTTTTAACTCAATCTCATTTTACATTTATGCCCTCCAACTTTGACTGTATACAAATAGACACTTAAAATTCTATAAAGTTGAACAAATAGACACACGAGTCCTACGAGTCACATACACGTAGGACACAAATTTCTATGTAGGATGCCATGTAGGGCGTTTGTGTCTATTTGTTAAATTTTATACAAGTTTAAATGTTTACTCGTGCATAACCAAAATTGAAAGACATAAATATAAAATGAGGCCAAATTAAAGAATATATTTATGTATTATGTCTTTAAATAATGGCCTAGTTTAGCAGATATAAGAGTAGACAATACAATCGTTGGTATGTTACGAGGAGAAATGATTAAAGTCCATTGCAATTCAAAAAGTTGTAACTGAAATTATATGAAGAAATTGTCAACTCAGAGCATTTGTGATTTAACTTTTAGCTTTCGACATGATATTTTTATGACCACAAGATTATTTAACAGGTTAGGTAATGGACCACATCGTGTAATCTACTATATATATATATATATATATATATATATTTCATTTTCCTTCATACCAAACACACAAAATGTTTATCTATTATTAGTACACTTTCATGTATACAAAGTGTCTGAGACAATATATCTAACTAAATTTAACTTCATGGTGTTAATAAAAGCTATGGTCAAAAGGAAAATGAAGAAATCTTACCCCAGAACACGAACCAGGTTCGTGTAAGTTGCTTTTAAGTAAAGACAGAGTAAAGACACAAACACTTATTGAATTAAAAACCTTCCTCACTCAAGGAAGGAAAAACCTTGTTTTATTAATTCAACTATAAGATTTTGTGATTACAACTCAATAATCAAAAGTCTTATCTCTACTACTCCCTCGATTGACTCCAACCGATCTCTCCAAAAGGCCAAACCCACCTTTTTTTACAACTCTTACTAACACCAAACCCTACAAAGAGCCAAACTCACCCTTTGTACAATAAACTGTAAACTACAATTAAGAACAAAAACAAGACCAATAGTTCTACACGATAAAACCTTCTTACTCAAGAATGTTTTAAAGGTAGTAATCCTATCAACCTTGAAGACTTCAATTTGATGAATAATTCTCCCTTGTTCTCTGCGTGAAGTCGTGGATATTTCCTCTGCCTCGTATGCTTCTTATAGAGTTTTTGCCTTGTACAATCCCTACTAATAAGGTAAGAAAGTTATATTTAAACAAGGATTCTTTTTTAAATTAGAATCCTTATTATACACAACTTCTTTCCTTAATAATATATTTAAGGTTTTCCTTATTTGTATTGACTTGTACCTTTAATATATTATTTTGACTTTGACAAATAACTCTATTTTACTTGATCTTGGACTCTAGCTTGACTTCTTTCGCTGCGTACATTTTCTACTGTTCTTTGCGCTTTTTGTCTATCATCAAAATATGAATTATTGATTCTATCATATTCTATCATATTCCCCCTTTTTAATAAAGACAAACAAATCTTTTTGTGTGATGCATGCGCAAATACTCTTCCCCCTTTTGACAAATCAAAAAGAATCCAACAGCGGCTAAACAAATCCAATCAACATCCATAGCAACAATATAAGCCCAGCCAGTTGAGCATAATAAGTTTAAACAACTAAGAGAACCAGGTTCAAACAAGATGCTTTTTCAATGTGAAGGTTGACCAGGCTTAGTTGAAGCAGAAGCCAGCATATCCAGAACTCTGTCAACTCTTGCATTGTTAGCAAGTTGCTGCTGCACTAACTGATCCTTCAACCTATGAATTTCAGCATTTGAAGTGTCAAGTTCAGCACGTAACTTCTAGTTTTCTGACTCAAGAGTGACATACTTTTCATCAGCTACTTTAAGTTCCCTGAGTGACTGAGCAACATGACCAGATGTACGTGGAGACGCAATTACAACCTGCTCTGACTCCATGGGAATACCACAATCAGCAAGAATGGTTTGAGTGAACATATCTGCACGAGTTAAAATCCTGCCTTCTCCCAATGGTAACTCAAATGCATCAAACACTCTAGTTAACAAATTTCCAAAACCTTCAATTCTTTGTCATCCATCAAAACTACAAACTTCATGTTTTCTCATTCCCCAAGAATTTCCCCCTTTTTGATGATGACAAACTATGCATATGTCTATCCACATTATATAATTTCCCCCTTTTGGCATCATTGAAAATCAATAACCATAGAACTCGAATAACATTAAATGAATGCAATATCATTTTTAACTCATAGCCACTTGGGCAACACTTTCAAGTACACTTCTGCTAACAAAATGGTTAGTTAATCTGAGGATATTAGTCATCTTACACTCATACACAATTAAGATCTTCAATGAGAAACGAAATAAACAAATATGTACCAATTTATGACCTTAATCAAAAATATATAATATCATGAGTATGAGACAGACATAAGCACATCAAAGAGTCAAAAGAGTATAAAATTTGAGGAT